ATCCAACATATCGTTTATGATCGCAAGGAGACACAGAATCTAACGGTGCACACTTCAACACTGAAAGATACAAACTCGCGACGTTATCAACAAAAACGTACAGCAAAACAAGTGGCGCTAGGTGGCCCACAACGCTAACATGGCTTACCTTGGTCTTTGTCTGGTCAAAACTGGTCTTCAATGGCATTAAAACTATAAAAACGATGATGTAGTTAATCCATAGATTAATATCCAATGTGGCTGTGTCCCCTTTGAAATGTTCTGATAATCTATAAGCAATAAAACTGCAATTCCGTTTTAAAATAGTAGAGCAGGCCATTCTTACGCTCTGTAGCTTCATTGAATGCGTGAAGATTCTATTGGCTCTAACGGTCAGAAAGAGATGTCACATGTCAAAATCGAGCAAGGGGGGCCAGAGATAAGGAAAATCCACCCAAATGGCNGTAATAATACAAGAATAAAGTCATAGTTACGGGAATAAAGTCGTAATAATACGAGAATAAAGTCATAGTTACGAGAATAAAGTCGTAATATTACAAGAAATTCTTGTAATATTACGACTTTATTCTCGTAACTATGACTTTATTCTCGTATTATTACGACTTTATTCCCGTAACTATGACTTTATTCTTGTATTATTACGACTTTATTCTCGAAATCTCTGTTATTTTTGTCTAATTGTGGCCCTAATACTCCGTCGTACATTTCAAAGGGGACACAGCCACATTGGATATTAATCTATGGATTAACTACATCATCGTTGTTATCGTTTTAATGCCATTGAAGACCAGTTTTGACCAGACAAAACCAAGGTAAGCCATGTTAGCGTTGTGGGCCACCTAGCGCCACTTGTTTTGCTGTACGTTTTTGTTGATAACGTCGCGAGTTTGTATCTTTCAGTGTTGAGGGGCCCCGTTAGATTCTGTGTCTCCTTGCGATCATAAACAATATGTTGGATCTGCAGCTAGGATCAGTAATAAGGGAGCTAGGAGTGATTTTCGGTGCAGTAATAGGTTAGCATTTTTCGCTCGGGGCTAATTCAGAGGCTCACTGTAAGCATTGTGTTTTTTTTTTTGAAGAAAAAAATGAAAAAGATCAGTTAAATGAGTTTTTTCCC